TCGGGAAGCGATGGCAAGCTAAGAACTACGCACACCTACTAGTCCAGTTTAAACATGATTTCCATTAATTTACTTTTAGTTTACTGTATATTTTAATTTTTATTTTATTTTTAATTTATTTTTTCTTAATTTTAGATTTTTGATTTGTCTTAATCAAGTAATTTTTATTTTTTATTTATTTAACAAATTATATATATGTAATTATATAATTAATATAATCATGTATATATTATATTTTTTTTTTTTACATATTTATTATTTATTATTTATTCATTTATATAATTTTATTCATTGAATTATTATTAATTTTTTTATTTGCTTTATCATTTATTATATATTACTACATATTTATTTTTTCATATGGTTTTTTTTTTGACAGATTTATTTGCTTATTTATCTATTTGTTCATTTATTTATTAATTAATTATTTAATTACTACTATATAATAGTAGTAATTAAGAAAAACAGAAAGTGTAAAATTGAGAAATCAGTTCCGTTTGCAGTGCTATAAATGAAATTAATGTGATAGAAAAAACTTACAAATAATGTGAGGTCGGTAATAGAATAAAAATGTGGATGTCAGCGCCATCTTCAGAGTGCCGCAAACGAAATTATTACAGGTAAGGATAACAAATAGGAGAAAGAGGTAAAATAAGAATTGATTATCAGTGCCATCTATTGAAGACAAAATATCTTTCCAAAGGTAAAGTAGGATGGGAATTGAAAGCTATCGACATCTCTCGAGCATTTCTTGAAACATGATTCTTTGAAGAAATGTTTTCAACACATGATGGCGCTGAAAGTCACTTTTATTCATATTATTCTATCTTTGTCTTTTTCTTAGTAGTTGCTGTCCTTCTCTATCTTTATTTTATTTTAAAATTCATATATTTAGGAACGGTATAAAAGTGTTTGATTAATTTTATTACTTTCTTTATCTTATCTATTAATTAAAAATTTTAATATAGTTTATTTGATTCTATTTTTATGTATATAAATATATATTTCTTATATTTTATAAAAGATATAAAGATATAAAGATATAAAATAAGATACTATTACAAATGTAATAGTATGTAAAGTTCTGTCATTCTTGTTACTTTATTTTATAAATGAAATTCGTATTTTACATTTTACATTTCTTATTTGATTAGATTTAATTTTTTCATATATATATATATATATATATATATATATATAAGATATTAATATATTCGTAGATCTTTAAACGATCGATTGTTGCTGGTATACAATTAATTGAAAAATTGAATAATTAATTTATTAAATTATAAGCAATAAAAGTTTGCACAAAATAGAGATAAAGTAAAATAGTTTTATCTTCATCTTGCTCTGTCTCTATAGTGCTTCATCTAACAGAAGCTTAAATTGGTTATAATTTAATAAATAAATTAGCTTAAATTTAACCGATAATTTTGTATAACAACTATTATACTTGTTTTAACTTTTAGAATATATTCTTTATAAGTATTTCTTTATTAAATTAACGCGTTATACTTTGAGGTGGTTTATTGAAATAATAATTCTATAAATCCTATATATCGATATATGTTTTATATAATATTTTTCTGTCTTTCGATTAATCAATAATAAGTTATTTAGGATAAAAGATATAATTTACTGCAAAATTAAAAATAAGTATCCTCGAATTTCAATTATTCACCTGCTAATTATTTCAACGATCAATTATTCATAAATTTATATAATATTGGAAATTATTCATAAAACAGATATCGATTTCGATTAATATTAAATATTTCATCTTAATTTCTCTTTTTTCTTTCTTGGTCAAATAATTAACACGATTACTCGATTCATTTATCTTTTGATAATTCGGTTTNTTTTTTTTTAAATTTGAATTTTATTTAATTTTTAATTTTTGATTTGTTTTAATCAAATAATTTTTAATTTTTATTTTCTATTAAATTAATATATATATGTGTGTGTGTGTATATATATATATATATACTTTTTATATATATATTCTTTTTGTAATATAAATTTTATTTTGTGTTTTGTTTTTTTCAGGTGGGTCTCGATGCGTAGTCACCTCCTCGTGGGTGAGACCTGGTAATTGGCATCGCTTTCTAAATTTTGTTTTTTAAATTTTTTCTATTTAAAAAAATATCAACAAATATGTCATAGAAAATTTCTCATAAAAATATTTCATAAAAAAATATAAAATATATTTCATCAGTAATAGTTTTCGGGAAGCGATGGCAAGCTAAGAACTACGCACACCTACAATTCAGTTTAAACATGATTTCCATTAATTATTTTGATTAATTATTGATAATTTGGACTACTGATAATTGATAAAATTTGTGCAGAAATATTCTCATTAACTGTTTTTATTTTATTTCTGGTTTCAACTCTTTTTTTTTTTTTTTCTTCAAAATAAGACGAGAATATTTTTGATACTGATTTAGAGAGGTTTAATAAATGAATATTACGTTAAGTTTAATATTAAGTTTAATTAAATTTATATAAATTTATAATTTGCGTATATATTATTTTGTAGTTTATTGTTTTTTCATTGTTGATTTCAAATCAATTACGTATCATGTAACGGTGGCATGTTGGACAAGTTTTCTACTTCCAGTGACGAATCGTGAATCCTCACCGTAGTCATTTCCTTGTAGTGAGATTTGGTAATTGATTTTTATGGATTATTCTTCGAAAAATTATTAATCTATATTATCTTTCAAAATTTTCCATTAATTTTTTTAATAATCGATTTCAATTTGAGAACTATTCAACACATGCATTTTAAATGTCAAATTTCCTTTGGTCATTTAGAATGGATTGCAGGTATTAAGTATTGACATTCGTTTTTTTATTTGTGCTAGGATTTCAATTCAGTTATTATTTTATTTTAATATAATTGTAATTTTATTTTTAAAATATCGTGTTATTTTTTTAATAAGACCTAAAAATTTAATTAATAATTATTTTTAATAGAAAAATGATGATAATAACATGTATTAAAATTGGAAAGACTATTTTTGGAAGAATTATTCCATTATTGGCATAGGATATTACAGATAATGACATGTAATGTTAAATACTTTTATTACACATATGCTGTAATCACTATTATATTTATAATGTATTTATAATATTTAGATAATATCTTACTCCTCTATACAAAAATAATTACAATAATAATCGTTATTGGCATAGGCAAAATCGTTATTTATTGAAATTTATTGAGCACAATTATTTTTTCCCTTATTTTACACAAGTAAACCTATATTAAAAGTCATTTAAAATTATAAGATTTTAATTATCTTTTATACATACACACGTTTATGAGTGTGTATGTTTATATATCATGTATATTTATATTTAAATTCATTCTGTAACCTACAACGCATACTAACAGTATATCAAAGTCTTTCATTACACTGGTAATATGAATTTTTGACAAAATACTGAATATTTCTTCTCTTCTTCTCCTTTTCTTTTTCTTCTTTTCGCCACTTTTCTGTCATTTTTTCTATTTCTTGTTTTCTTATACTTATCTTCACACTATTGCGTTCATTCTTTATCTCTATCTCGCATACACGAACAATTTGTAGCATTAAACAATATTCGAAAGTAATTTTTTTTTCGTGCGCTTACTCAAAAACCCTGATCAATTCGTGATTATTAAGAAAATTTCGTGAACAGTTCATTCGTCGTCAGTCAAAGGAGTCGAATTGTTCGATTTTATATATTCGATTCGAACGAATATCGACTTAACTGTAGTTTGTACCGCGACAGCAACATTTTCATTATTTTACATTATTATTCACACATTATTTCGGTAAATTATGCAGATTTATAACTGCATAACAGATTTATAACTGCATAACATTTCTAAACATATATATTTGATCTCGTTCAATATCTCTCTGGGCAGTTTCTCGATTTATATAAAAACGGTATAAAATTCGTGTTGTGAATCGAGCTTAGTAGATAATTCAGAATTGATTGGAATGGAAGAAATTCTTTAATTGGATGTTAAAGACGTAAATAGTAGATGTGAAGTGTCGTCGACTAAAAGTAATGGTATGTTAGAATGCTACATTATCGATAGTCGTTTGCAAGAAACGCGAGTTCCGAAAAACATTAAAATTTTTTAGATTGAACAACTATTTTTTTTTTCAAATTCGATTCATTAAAAAAAATGGGATCTAGACGTAAATAATGGAATGCTTTGTCTATATCCTTTATAACAATTTTTTTTATATATACGAATATTTGCATCACAATAAGATATAATTTAAAAGAAAATGATCCGTCAATTGTTTACAAATGATTCGATTTTATAAAGGAATAAAATGAAAGGTATAAAATATTAAAAACAAGCTAACATCACGCATATAATATCTAGGTATGTAACAATCTCGAAATATTTCGACATGCAACGTTTTCAATTGGCGTTGCAATTATATGGCACATAATATAAGGTTTGCACATTTTGTTCATTTCTTTCTTTCTTTTTTTTTTTTTTTTCTATTCTCAGTCTTCTGAACGCCTATCCTTAAAAAATGAAATGTTAGCATCCGAGAAGTTTATTCTCATTTAGCTGTGTCGTTTCTTCATTTCAAATGTGCAACCTTCTGTCGGTAACTCATCTATAACGTAGGGTGATCATATCTTTTGTTTCAAGTATATTTTTTTTTATAAAATTATATCATCATATGATGTACAATAAATATAAAGTAAAGATAAATGTATATTTAAAAATATAGATATTGGAAATATTTTTTTTGAAATTAGTACGAAATTAAATAGACAGTTTATAATATATATAATTAATACATTATTATAAAAATAATACTATATAATAAAAATTAATAATAAAATAAAACTAAGAATATTATAAGTTTTGAACTTAATATTAATATATTGATATATTAATGTTAAAAAAAATAAATCTAGCTAATAGCTAATAATGATATACTAATTTATGCTCGAAAATCTTATTAAAAATTGGTACTTTGGTTTTGTGATAGAGTTTCGATTATATATATATTATAAAATTTATAACGATTTTAAAGGAAGTGAGAAGACGATTTCAATATATTATTCCATTTTAACATATTTCCACCTTACTTTTTTCTTATTTAATTATTCCTTGATTTTTTCTTATTTAATGTAACGATACGATCACCTTACTATATAACATTTTCTAGGTTAAATGATTTAGACTAAACAAAAATTACGCAAATAGTAAATAACTATTCCATTTAAGAAAAAAGAATCATTTCTTTCCATCAGGGACGGTTAAAGCTTCAAAAATGAGCAACGATCGAACATATAGAACGAGTCTAATATAATCAACAAACGTGTATATTATCACTTCCAAAATTTTAAAATTTCTGTCTTTCTTTTTCTCTTTAAATTCTATTCATGATTAGATAACATCGTTATAATAACACCGCATTTATCTAAATCTGTACACGAAATTTTTCGCGTCATTTATGTTTAACAATAAATAATTAAGCTGCGGAAAAACACCTCGAGACGTTTTAACTTTCGACGCAGGCTCAATATATGTATACATAAATATCATCTCATTAATTCTAACGCATTTCTACAAATTATACTTTGTAGACGTAATACTGAACGAAAAAACAATTAGGGATTCGCCGTCTTGATTGTACTTCGTGGTATCGTAAATGTGTTCCATTTATCAATTAAGTCGAAGTGTACAATGAGAACACATTGTATTGTTACAATTCGAATTGATGAATTATGATAGAAAATTTTGCAATTTCTTCTTTCAATTGTTTTTTTTCATTTTGTTTTCTTTCCCTTCTTTTACGGACGGTTGAGAAGGATCAACGAAATTAATATTTTTCAATTATTAGAACCATTACTGTCGATTACTGCGCCATCGGTTGTTTTATCCGCGAAACAAAAAATTCGTTTCTATTCGAGATATCGTAATTCTCGATATCTCGACAAGAAGTTCGAGACATCGCGATTCGAGACAATCATTCCCGCATTTCAATAATAACTCTATCACAAATCATTCGGAAAGCATATATAATATATTCGTATTATACTTCGCGCAAACATTTGTGTGGGTGGGTGTGTGTGTGCGTGTGTTTTTATATTACTTTCATTCTTCATTATTTATTGAGAACCTTCTGTAACATATGTACGAGAAAGTTTAACGATAACATATCATACACGTCGCGTCGTTCCGCGTAAATGATCTACGAGGAACATCGTGCGGTAGTCTTTTCTTTTTCGTTTTTTTTTCTTGTTCTATTAAATGAGTTTAACTTTTTTTTTGTAATTAACGGTGCGTGGAAAAACGTTTATTAAGAGTAGAACGTTGCTTCGAATATAATCGAAAATTTTAGAATCATGTCGTTGGTGCATTTGAGACTGGTGGCGTATCGGTACGCCATATTGAGCTACCAGATTGGCTGATGGTAGTAATCTGTAAATAAAGATATTCAAAATAAAATATATTCTTTTTAAATAATAGTAATAAAGTTTATTTCATTTAATATTAAATCATTATTGAATTATATTAATTATGAGAAAATTTATTAAATAGATTTGTTTCAGAATGACAATCGATATTTTTATACTTCATTAGTATTCTTCTTCTCAAAATATTTATACATATAAATATAAATTATATAAATTGATTAGGCAAAGAATTTTTGGATTTTTTTCAAAGAATCGATGTATGTAAGTTCGATATTTCATTATAATGATTCTTTAACTTTTTATTATTAATTTTTATTATTAATAGAATATTATTATTTTATAATTAGAATTTCAAAAATTTTGAACAAATAACTAGGGATAACTAGAGTTATTGTAGATCATTGCATCGGATATATCATTCTCAAAAACAAATGGTATGACAGATCTATTAATTGTCACCTTATTGTCATGTCCGATTAATGGAGTTTCTGCTGTGGTCTCGTCATTGTTACGACTCATGTATGGATGTGGAGGTGGCACATAAATCGGCTTAGAATGACTGGCGACTTGCGCGTAAATCGTCGGTTCCTGGATAGGTTGTCTACGCGTCAGAGTCGACATGGGCAGCAGTTGAGGTCGTTGAATATTGGATACCTGTACTGGCTGATAACAATTAGGAGGTATTCGTCGGTTACCCCGAAGCGACAACTCAGCGTACGTTAACTCTGATCCCTGCAAAGTCATTATTGATTATGCAAATTATCATTTATTGATTTAATATAATGGGAGGTATGGGTTTATTCGTTTCTTCGTTTTTCGTTTTTCTTTTTCTCATATTTCGATTCATATATTCATTGAATAGAGTAGCAAAATATGTTTTATTACATCCAAAATCATTTTTCTAAAATATGAATTTAGGGTTTTGTTGAAATTTCTATAGAAATTTATGAAAAATGTTAATTGTTTGAATGCCGATTTAATTCGTTGAAATCTTGTTTTCTATTTATTAAATTTATATTCTATATATTATTATTTATTTTTTTTTATAAACATGTAGAGATACCAAAAATTTGTAATATTTATAGTATTTTATTTAATGATTAATTTATTTCCATAAAATGAGTACATTATTATTCACATTTCTAATTTAGAAAATTATATTATATGCATCTTATTAAAGGCATTCAAATAATTCAAACTATTAATATAATATAGATAATTTAATATAGATTTTTTTTTTATTTTATATGTGTTATATGCATGTAGTGAGAAATAAAGAGTTTTTATAGGTATTCGTACTCACGTTGCTTGTATTGGTAAAAGTACTTGCATCCGATCGTGGCTGATGTAATACATAACGTGGTGAAGTACTCTTGCACAATTCAGAGTAAGAATTTTCTGTGAAAATGTGGAATTTTAGAAATTAGTAAGGCTAATAGTTCGTTGTTGTCGTTGAAGTAATTGATTATATATTGTCCAATTTTTTAATGATATTCGTATAAAATGTTTACACATTCGTGTTGTTGAAGTAATATAAATTTTTTTAGTGGAATAAACTTCATTAATATTAAAAGCCTCCCCCAATTTTACAACACATACACCATCGACTTAACATCGAATGCTTATTAAATTACCCACCGTTAGCGTGAGGAATTATATCTGGATCCTTCTCGAAACTCTCAATGCTGTCGGAATTGAGAGGCAGGGTCGACGATTTATCACGTGGAGAGGAGCTGCCGGTACCGGACGCGGCCAGGTTTGCCATGCCACCGTCGTCGTGAGAGTCCTTGTCCTCCTGAGACCTTGCTCGAAGCCGTAATTTCACCGCCAGGGTTATCACGAAGCCCACTAGTAGAACACCTGCCGTCGATCCGACTACCATGCCAAACAGTGGTCCGGACAGCGACAGTATCTTTGGCGTGAGAGCTGAAAATCATGTTAAGTACCATGAGTATTTTCCTCTCTTCTTTCTTTTTTTTTTTTTTTTTTTGTTTAGGACTGTTCGAGAGACGATAGGATTTCTTTTCGGGATTATAAAAATAATAATAAGAAACGATTTATCGCGATTACAGTCGTTAAAAAGAAAATTGACGATTTTCGTCGTGGATACGATTTTTAGATTTTCAGGATTTTTTTATAAAAGTAGTTATAAAATTATATATAGGGAAAGCTAATCTTGATCGGACAAGTAAAGTAAGATAATCGTAGGTAGACAAGTAAAAGTTATGGTTAATCGAATGGAATAGGTCAGTTATTAGTCAGACAGTAGAGGCGCGTTTGAAGAATTATGAAAACGATTGGAATCATATCTTTGTAAAATAATTATAAATTATACAATTTCTGATAAAATTCATTATAAATTCGAATATTTCTTTTTTACTTGAACATAGTAGTTAGTTAGTTTTCTTTCTTCAATTTTGATTTAATTATTATAAAATTATTCTTTTATTCTTGTTTTGCTATAATTGAATATTCTGCTTGCAAGTTTTTGGCTTTTTTGAAATTTCTTTTTTAAGATTCTGTAAGAATTAAAATATCGGAATGTCATATAATTTTATAATATCGTTCTAACGTAATTTTTTGGTTTTTCTTTCGAAAATATAAATATAATACAATGATCGTATGGTTAAAACGTTAGAAATTAGTAAGATTGTTATGTTTATACAAAAATATATCTTTCTTAAAAACTTTTTTATAATAAAAGAAACGGTGTTAAATAGTCGAGTTTTTATGAAATGAACGACATAAGAAATTCAAATAACTCTCGGGCACGATCATGATTCATTTGCTTGCATAATTTCAAGCTACAATTTGATTTACGTTCCTCTTTCATATTCCAGATAATAATGGATTAATATCTCGGTAATAAACGAGCACTGAGCTGATTAACCATGGTCCAATGCGTTTCGTATTTAACCATCGACAATTATGTAAATGAAATTTCATCATAGAATTGACCGTCGTTTCTGATCACGACAATATTAATGAACAAATTTGTTTTCAGGCTAAAATAAGAAAAAGCTTCATTTATCAAAAAAATTTTTCTTTTAATTTGAAAAAAAAAGATTCATAAAATGGTGTTTCAAAAATTCCTTTTTAAGATTCATTAAAATATTCGAATTGTAATGAAAAGAAGCTGTGCATCATCTATGCATGTTCCACACTACGATATCGTAGCAAGATTCACCATTCACATGCAAGGTTTCTACATAATAGATAAACATAGATCTACGATCACAAGCCAAAGCGCGCCATTTATTGCAAGCAGAAAATATTTCGTGATCATTATGTTTCTTTTGGAAAAATATTTCTTTATTCTTCTCATTGCTAGTTACAGTGTGCTTTAAGTTTTTTCACTCAATTTTCATTGTTTCATAAATTATTGTTCTCACTTTGTTTCATGAAAGAATGGCACATTTTATAAGATTTTTCTCGATAAATATGCAAAAGATTCTATAGATACAGAAAAGTGAGTAAAATTAGTTATAAACTTAATAAAATTTCTTCTTTAATTTTCAATCATTTAATGTCATAGTAGAAAAATTAAAATAAGAAAAAATATAATATTATAAATATTTTTTTTATTCATAGAAAATTTTTGGAATTTCTTTATTAATCCTTATAAAATAATTTAACAGCATTACATAAAATAGGAAAAAAAAAGAACAAATATTAAAAACAATTTTCTAATATATTTAATATATATTTAATATATTTAATATATTTAATATATCAAGTTTTTATTTTAAAAATTTTAAATTATCTGGAAAAATATAAAATGTGCCAAAATATTGTATCGTACAACAAGAATAGAACCTTAAAATCTCTCTGTTATCTCTTCAGAGAAAAAAAGCACACCTTCAAAGTGCCCCATAGAGAAATTCCTCTGTTCCTCGTGTGAAAATCGTTTTCCCTCGAACAACAACAACAATTTTCGAGACAATAGGATGAAAGGACGAAAATGGACCATTCAACGTACCTCGACGAATGAATGAATGAAACGTGTCAAATAAATGATGACATTCTAAAAGCGTGGACAGATTTTCAACGAGATGCACCGCAGAAAGACACGGATATCATAGAACGAAAAAAGAAAGGGATAGAGATCATGAAACAATCGTAAAAGTAACAGTAACAGTGGTTCGTAAAAATGTACGTTCCCGGGAGCGATCGTAAAGGCACTTTCAATCCTTCAATTCCTTTCTGTTCTTGCCATTTTTTGAAATTTTTAAAACGATAAGTCGATTACTATCTCGTGGAATACATTTTCTTCCTTCCTTTTGTTTCTTTTCTTCGTTTTCTCTTCCAAAAGAAAATAATTTTTTCCGGCTCTGTTGGAGGTAATTTTTATTTTTTCGCATTATACAGAATGATAAGAAAATGATATATAAATATTATAAGAGTAGTAATTGCAAAAATAAGACTAATAGGACTAATAGGTTATTCCTACAGATTAATCCTTTTGATAAAAAATACATATAGTTTCTACATCTTTTATATTCGTTTTTGTCCTCTTTTCATTTAAATTTTCATAGATCGATTCATATTTATAATGCATGAATCTTAATGCTTTTTGTTATTCTTTTATTATCATAAAATTATCGTAGTAATTATCAGTTAGGATTAGTTTAGTTCTAAATATTTTTTTCCTATCGTCTATATAGAGAGATAGTGACAGTAATCGCGTATTGGAAACGTTAATTTCGTTTCGATGCCAAATGTCTCGCGTGGATTAACCGAACCGGCTAATTTAGGATTAATCGATTATATCTACATGCCGGTGTAACACTGCCACATCCATTCGTGTTTGTGTCTGTGTCATGCAGTTCTCACAGTTGATCGAATTGATCTATGTAAGTGGTTGCCCGACCGCCAATTACCCGATTTAGTTTATTCCACAACGTATTAATGTTGGAAATAGATCTAAAAAGATTGACGAAGTGATATTCTTTTTTTCCTACCTTCTCTTTTGAAAAATTAACAAAATTCTAATTGATAGTATTTCATTGTTATATCGGAGTAATATTAAAATTAGGTTATTATTGTTTCAAATTAATTCAAATTTAAAATCTTTTGAATTGAATCGATTTTGAAATGTTTTTGAAATTAGAAAAATTTTGAATAGGAAAGATATTTTGTTGTTAGAATGATGTTAGATCATTGCCCAGAATAGGTCTTTAATATGATAAGTAGAATTATACAGATCTAAGAATTATACAGATCTAATTCTTCCTTTTTTTTATTTATATAAGTCCATATCTGAATAATATATTTTTATTACAATATTATTTGCAATTTAAATAGAATTATTTTTCGAAATGAAGATTTCGCCAGATTTCAACACGATTTTTCTCAATGAAATACGATTTATCCAGATATGGATGCCGTGTTTGCAGAGATAGTGAATTATCGTTACGCCAGAAATGAATCTGGAATTCAGATGCACTGTCCAGAACTATGCTTGGCATTCAAGTTCGAGATTAATCAAAATCCACTTAAATTCACAAACTTCTCTAAACGAGTAGCCCTCTCGTTCTGCTCCTGTGATTCTAAGTTGATATTAAACGCAGGAGGTGGTCGTCGTTCGAATTCAAGAATAGAGAATTCACACTCTCTGCTATTCCCAAGATGGAAACCAGTTAATTCGAGGACAATTTTATACTACTTCGATTCCCATTCCGTTGGGAAATATTTTTAATTCGAGATAACTTGATAATGCATTCTTACGAGGATATGTATTAAAATATTTTTATTATTCATAGATTAAAAATGGACAACTATAAATTGATAACAAATCCTTTCGTTTTTTATCATTACAATACTTATACTTTGACGATAGATAGGAAAATTATTTGATATTAAATCAAAGCAGTAATTTTATGGGAAATCTTTTAATTTTTTTCAAACCAAAACGGATATATTTTTTTACTACAAAATTCTCAATTTTTCCCAGAAAAATTTTCTTTACTCGAATTAAATCTATCGACTTTCTCTCTCCTTCTTTCTTTCTCTATCCTCTTCGTTCCTTTTCCTCAACATCTTATGGTTACAGAGGATCGTGTTCAGCCGCAGACCAATTTCGGTTGAACGCTCTCCGGATGGTTCGCACGTACACGCGGTTGCCTTGGCGGTGTCCCTTGGAACCGGCAGTTCCCCGACTTCTCTTCTCTATATACGTACCAACCGTTTACAGGATGTATACGTGGGGACCTTTCGCCACGAATTCGCGGAGAGAACGTCCATTTGCATATTCGCGGCCGCGCGTTAGCCCGTGGTTAGCTGAAAGACGTTTTGTAATCACGTTCCGCGGACCGTTTATGATTCACTTTAACGGTTAACATGGCTACACGGTCGTTTAATAACCGATGACACGCGACGTGGATGCTCGTCTATTAATTTAATTATGATCACGATGTCGAAACCCTCGATGATAATGTTTAATCGATAATAATAAATGAGGAAGAATTATGTAGAAAATTATGATCGAAATGATTATGATGAATTAGATTTCTTTTCTTTGTAGAATTTGTTTTAATTTTGGATTTTTGGAAAATAAAAAAGAATTATAGTTTTGAGATGTTGATATAAGAAGAGAAATAATTACAGAAATCATATTGTTATTGTTTTCTAATCCAGTTTTTATTGAGAAAAAATTAAGATACGAATATATTAAGATTAAATTCCAATAAAGAATGAAGGAATGAAAAATTTTACAATGAAACGAATAAATTATTAGTTATATGGGAGACAAGGATAATAAATAGCAATTATGCTATACTTAATTTTTTTTAAGTAACTATTTAATCAAATTTAAATCAAAATTCATTATTTTACATTTTAAAATAATACGATTTAAATCGACTGTCTATCGCTAAATTATTCTCAGATAGTATTCCCATCGCGATCAGATGGATTAGGTGATATCTGACCGGTTTAACGATAAAATGGAAGGCTATTCGATCCATTGATCAGATCGAGATTAGTTTTAAATCGTTACACATCATCAATTCCCAGTCAGAATTGATTGGAAGCGCAGGCCTGATGATTTCGATAAGTTGTACATGATGTTGATTCCGTGTTTACGCCGAGTTTCGGTTTCTGGTTAATATTGGCGTAGGTGAACGTTAATTTTGGATCAGATTTTCAGTCGGATTTACCAGGATGATCCAATGATTTAATGATTAAAACGGTAGCTCGGCCGATCTCCGCATGATCCTAGATTAAGTCTGGATTATGTTAGGTAATCGTGAATTCTGGATTAGCTATCGGGCAACGTTTGACAGCATAATTTGATACTGTGATGCTCCTCTACTGGCCTGATTCAATGCCGAAAGCTAATTCAACTGACAGCGGATACGCTTACTGTGAATTTCCGTTTATGTTAAGTAACTTAAGTGTCGTTCTATTATGTAATTCTTTTATATGCCCGCTTTGAAATTGCGTTTGAATAGAATCGAATGGAAACATGAATTGAGGTGATAATAGTTGATGGATTAGATTTTATCAAGGATCAAACAATAGAGGGATGTAATAAAGCTTATTCGAAATGTGTTTATATTCGAGAGAAACATAGTTTATTGTATTTTTTTCGAATTGAAAATATAGAATCTATAAGGGGAGAAAACGAAAATATCGATCAAATTATTAAAAAAGAAAAGACAGAAATTCAATTTAAATTAATTAGGAAATAATAGAATTTCGATAGCAAATCAAATATCTTAGAGTGATAGAAGTTTGGAATTAATTAGGAATTGTTCTTCGACGCGAAGATCTCTGTCAGACATCGAAACAGGATCGATAGGATGAGCTGGAGATATCGATGACGAGTAATACTCAAACCAGAAGGCTAACTAGTTCGAACGCAATTCTGATCGGATTTCAATTTGCGAGCATTTCAGATGGGATGGCCGGTAACTCCAACTCCAACATTTAGTTCGGTGGTTGAGTACCACTGAATCAGATTTGACGCTTCTGATAGAATCTTTCCCTATCGAGAGTCAACTAGTTCAGAATATCAAATGAGCGTAGAGATCCTTATTAGTTCTAAAAAAAGAAAAGCATAACGAGATGATCTATTAAAATTTATTTTCAACATCGTGAAAACTAATCTTCCGTGATTAAATTAACATAAATATTGGATGAAAAATTTAGGATGGTTTAAGGATGATCCACGACTTCAATCGCTTTACAAAATTTCTACGAAAATGATCTTGATGAATCTTAATCCGCAATCTCATCAAAAAAGCAAAACAGGATATTGCTAAATATATGGGAAACTTTTAGAGAATCATTCTCGAAACAAAACAAAAAAAAAAACATATGAAATAATTTTTCTTAAATTCTTGGATCCCAAGAAGATACTTTAATATTTTTAAACTTTTTTACTTAAGGCAAGCACAATTTTACAACACCATCTCTATATTCTAGAGAATCGATCCTCTAAAAACACTTCACCAACAAAAGAAAAAAATATCCTGTATAACAAAATCAAAGAAAAAAAAGAACAAAAGAAAGGAAGTAAAAATATTCCCCTACAGAAAAGGGAAGGTTGACAATTGATAAAAGGATCGTGATCTGGACACACAACGTTCCCAACAGACTTTATTAAAGTCCGCGGATGGCGCACGCTGACTCGAAATCGAACACTAGCTCTGGCCCCTACCTGGGTATGCTTGATGCTCCTTTATCTTACCCTCCTGAACATAGTGCGGGCTGTGAAGAACCGTTGCGTCGCTCATCGTGTGCTCCGTCATGATCCTCAGCGAGAGAACCAGGCCCGAGTAACTCCTCTCCGCGGGCAGATCGGTGATCTCGAGCATGCTAGGCGTCATGCTAGTCGCGGAGGCCAAAAGACGCCTGGTGTCCGCGTCGAAGACCTGGAGGACATAGGTGGCAGTCCGAGGATCGATGAACTCGCTCTCGGCGCAGCTCACCCTCACCGTCGTCCGACTCTCTTCCCTGATCGTACAATTCTCCGGGGGAGGGGGTTGCGCCAGCTTCTCACCTGTTACCATACCGGGCACACCATCCTCAGCTTCCTTCTTCTACTCAGCTACCTCCACGCTCGAGTTTGGTTTTTACGGGAAGTATATTTTGATTTTATGAAGAGGGTTAGGATTTCTCCTGTACGAGGGTGGTGGAAGGGTTCTGTTGCCTAGTAGAATTTTTCCTTGGGGAAGGGGAGGGAGGGAGGGAGGTTGAGCGGGGAGAGTTCAAAGAGAGAGATTGGGTTAAGTTTTTTTCGAGGGTGCTATGCGTCGCGAAAGGATTTTTCTCTTTCTTTCTTTCTTTCTTTCTTTCGAGTTTCCTTCGAAGGGCGACGACTACTTCGAAGTCCTGCGTTTCTACCGTTTCCGTATTCCGTTTGCGTCGCGTTGATGATGAGCTCAACGCCCTGCAAACGTTTTTTTCTTTTTTTTTTTTATCGAGCGATTTCTCTCTTTTTAACATTTTAGGGGAGGGGAGGATTTTGCGAAAGGGATTTTTTGTAGCTTCGACGATTGTTTGAGAGTTAGTTTGCAATTTGGAATGTACAATTTTTGTGGGCAATTGTAGTATAATTTTCGAGTTGAAGAGCGTATCTCAATAATCAAATTTGTCGATGTTTAATCAGTCTCTATATTCTGTTTTACAAATCAAATGGTAAAAAAAGTGTCGTCATTTCAACGATGTTTGCCAAACTTCCATCAAACAAACGTTCGTTATATCAAAAAACAAACCTTTCTCTCTAAAAAAAAAAAAATCAAACGCGTTCGATGGAAAATAAAAATAAAGAACAATCCTTGAAAAGATAAAAACTTGGAATAGATATTACAAATAAATCGCGAAAGAGTACACCAGATTTTTAAGCAACAACCATCCCTCGAATGTTCTCTCTCTCTCTCTCTCTCTCTCTCTCTCTCTCCCCCTTTTTTTTCTTTTTCGAGCAGATTCGATCGAGTTTCCACCCAAAAAATTCGTGCCAACCCTCCGGCCCCACGTTTCTCATTCGCCGCGCGAACGTGTTTTAATATAAACGTCAAAGCGTAATCGATATCCGCCATAAGGGAGGACAGGCCAGGTATCGATATCGAGTCGTTCGAGCCAGTCGTTTGCACGTCGCGTAACAAGCGTCTGACTTTCGTTTCGAGGCTAAAGTAAGTTCGTGTCGGAATTACGGTCAGCTGGCCATTTTATCGAGCGAAATATTCGACAGAAGAAGCGTTTACACGCGTGAACGAGAGCACAGAACTGCTAGACAGAATTATTCTTTTTTTCTCTCTCTCCCCCCTATCCTCTTTCTGCTTCCTTTCTCCTAGAGGTACGAGTTAGGCAGCAGGGGTGCGAGTCAATAAACCGGCGGACGAGAATCGAGCGACGCTGGTCAACGATATCGACTACTTCGATAAACCGGAGATTCGTTTAACACGTTCCTACTACTTGTAATTATTGGAATTGAAATTTTGATTAGATAGGCGGAAATATCGTTCGATATATTGGTTATTTCAATGAGATTATTAAAGGATGGAACGAATTTTTCAATGTCTTTTGAGATGAGTAATATTTTTTTTTCATGTAATAAATTGAGATTAAAATTCTTCTTTTATAAATGAAATGAATAATATGAAAATATTATTTTTATATTATAAATAGAATGAAATAGATATATTTATTTTTAGGCATGAATCAAGGAAAGAATTTTAAGCAAGAATTTTATTTTTTTATTTAGTATTTTTATATTTAGTATGAAAGTTTTTGAAGGATTTTTTTAATTGTAAAAAAAATAAATATTGCATAGAAGTATTGTTACAAAATTTTAAAATTTTACTGCAATTTTAGATAAACAGATTTTTTTTATATATATAACATCTGTAAATCAGCATTTTTTTTAAGGATATAAGTGTCATCTTTTTTTTAGTGTAATAATAAAAATGTAGCAATCGTTGCTAAAAAAGATGTAGATAAAAAAATTCTAATTTATAAAGTTTGTGCAAATTTAAATTGTCCAATAATTTTCCAAGAATTTTGTTCGTATTTTAAAAATTTCGTGGAAACTGCTTTCTGGATTGTAATCTCATTTTTAATTACGAATGATTTATCGTGCACATGATGGATATATGAAAAAGGAAACGAAGAGAATAATTAAATACCTACATTGATTAAAATGAATTCATAACATATCACAATTGAGATCTTTCAATTACCGTTAATGAAATTCATACGCGAATAAATTAACTGTCTCACCGTAATAATGGTTTCAACACGAAAAAGTTTTCAATTGAAAAAAGAATTCGCGAGAATATTTAAGTTAAAATATGTCAGAAACGTCGAGATACGATTAACGTCCGTTAAATCCCTGTATCGAGGTGTCTTCCGTCAATATGATTAGCAAACATTTGCATTTTAAAACGAGAATGTCGATAGAATGTAACATTATCGGTTTGTTAAAAAAAAACTCGGCAACTAAATACAGGAATAAAGGGAAAAAAAGGAATAAAGTTTGTTTTATCGAATTGCATAAAGAGTAGGAAGAGATATCATTGATTCGTACTACTTGACACTCTGCCGGTACATTTATTGACATATACCATTGTGAAAAATCTAACCAATTCGTTCGAGAATAAATAATATTATATTCAGTTTATAATTTTTTCTTTTTAATAATCGAAATATTTTTAGATAAAATATTTTGAAAAAATATTCGCGAAATTCGTATTTTCTATCAAAAAAATGGAGCATAGATTATTCGAGAACCTATTATATGGAGAGTTTTTGAACTAAATTAAACAAAATACGAAATTTTTTATATTAATAGACATTACAGAGTTAAATTTTCTCGAAAGGAATATTAAGTAAAATCGATTATTAAAAATTATCATTTATAACGAATAATAATTTTAGAAATTGAAATTGTTTTTTTTAGATTCTTTTAAAAAATTCAATATACAAAAAGATAAATTTATACGAGCCATTTGAAACTATTTATCTCACAGAAATGAAAAATCAACATAATTTCCCCGCTAATCCAATACAAACGAATATAACGAAACAGAATCTATCTCTATTAAAATGGGGCAGAATCCTATAACAAAAATTTCTTTTAATCAACCGCAATTTCGAAAAAAAAAAAAATTCATCTCACAATCGTTGGACGTTCATAAAAGATAGGGGTACAATTAGAACGCGAGCCAACAGTCAGGAACGATATACACCAATTTCCAGTTAGCCAACGGACAGAATAGGCCGAGTCCACGACGAGAGAGGAGAACGGCCATCGCCCACCCCCGCAACCCCAATTAGCCACGCATTATTAACGCGTACTGTACACAGGCCACGTTTACGGCCAGCCTGGCCCCGCGTTCCACGGTTAATTGTTAGCAATTAGCAGGAAGAATGAGCTAGCAATCTGACAGAGTCGTAATCCGGGACAAAATTATTTTCCTGGCCTACAAGAGAAATTCCTTTTCCGGTACACGCCTCCTCTTCTGACCCCATGGAGAAGCAAAGTAGCGAGAGTAGTAATTTGTCAGACTAGTGTCCCCTCTCCCCCCTCTCAACCCTTCTATTTTGATTCTCGTTAATTTGTCTTGGTAATTCGTCTGCTCCGGCTTCGCCATTGTTGATGTCGCTTTAAGTATATACAATGTCTGGCTAAGCGCGGAAGTATTTTATTCAATTTTCTTTCTCGATGGAAAATTGTTTTTTAATTCGATCATTCTTTTTCAATTTGTTATTTTGATGGATTTGATCGATTCAGGACGTGTGTTATATTTGGTGAATTAAATATTTTGAGATTAAATTTTGTTGTCGATTAAAATATTATTTTTTGTCGTTATCTTCAATGAAAAATATTTTTTAAAACACTTGTTCTTTTAAGCAATTTGCATTCGATAGACAAAAACAAATGACAGTTAGAATTAGAATTTTCTGATAAAATTGAAATTGTTTATTCTATTATTAACGACTGCAGGATATATCAATATAAGGAAATTAGATATTTCAGATCTGTCAGATATTTGAGTGAAACAAATATTCTTGTCAATCATAGAACTATAATAGTCGTTATGCAATGGAGTATTCCCACCTATATCACTGTACTTTCAGAGAATCGAATTTGATTCCGAACGTCAAGTTAATTATAATAATCGAGTCATTAATTATATTCATCACTATCAATTAATTATCCCAATAAATTAATTAATTATCCCAATAAATCAATTATGGCGTATAATTTCTATTATCGATGCTACTAAATAATATCCAATAAGAAAAATAAGAAAAAGAAAAAAAATTAAATCGAGAAAAGATTTATAACTTTCATCGTTGTTACTATCGCGTTAGATACATTTCTCGATTCTATACGACTATACTTGAAAAGACGTGGATCATGAAGCGCAGGGGACGATAATCGAGTTCGACAGGGACCGGAAGTCCGTAGATTTAGCTCGACTGGTGGTGATCGAAACTATCGGTGTCAAGCGCTTAATCGCGCGTCTACGATACAGAGTGGCCGAGTAAACGCTGCAGCATGGCTGTGTCGCGACGGGAACTGTCATTTTTTCCCTTGTAAAACGACAGTTCAATCACGGTAATGGAACTATCTTCATCGCGGGTACTTAGGGAAAAGTATGGTTTACAACGCGATACAGCACCATTTTCCACAGTGATATATTGTGAGAACCTTATATCCGCAAGGGATGAGTTCCAAACCCATCCCTTGGATACTTGAAACCGTGGGTATATAGTAGATATTTGATATTATGAAGAATGAGAGCTTAAAATAATATATGATAAAATATGACAATTGCAATGGGGAAAATATAATGGGGACTTTTTTTTCATAAATAATTATACTATCGTATTTGATATAAAATTTGATATAAAATGATAGTTGTTGAACGTTTAACGTCTTTTTAAGATATAGCTTTCAATCTTTTTTTATTTGTTAAAAATATGATAATGATGTAGAGTTTATTTAATGAGATTAAACGAGACGTGGGTGTTAGAATAGTGTAACAGTTGTAAGGATATCTATTTCATGAGCTGAAACGAGATAAATGATGTAGGTGTAATGATATAGTGCAATATAAGCTTTCTGTTTTACATTGAACGATGAGCTGAAATAAGATGAACGATTAAGTTACTGTTTATATTTTTCTAACTTAAATATTATTTCATTTTTCATTTATATCTATTTGTTCAGTGATAGATATCAATCAAAAAGACGACGTTAATGAAACGTGAATAGAAAAATAAGATCTGTCTTCGAGATTGATCGAGAAATTAATAACTTTAAGAAGTGTATAGTGTATATCTATATTTTTATCTAAATCTATTAAAAATTTTAAATCAAACGTAGCCTTCAAAAACGAATAATGATATATGCAAAAGGAAAAATTCAGAAGACCAATAATCTTCTAATTTCACAAACATGTAAACACGATACTTAAGTTTCGATATATTCGAATTTGACTAGATCAAGACCTCTTTTCTGCCACGCGAAAACTTAACAATCGCACGAAAAGATCGACGCGAGATCTCTTCGTCGATTAATCCTCAAATTCCCAACGTGATCGTTCCCCTGATTCAAAAAGGAACCATTCCAGGATATCCCAGATATATAAAGTCGATTCACGGAAAACTCATCGACACGTGTGTTGCAGCGTTCGCTCGTTTCTTGCCCGTTGGATCGTAAGTAAACGGATCTTTAAACCGTGAGATCTCTCGAAGGTCTGAGCGAAGTGGTGTACCTGTAGCTTGAGAACAGGATTGATGAGATTGTGGTGTGATCAATGTTGAGAACAGGAAGAATGAGACTGAATACCACGCGAGGTGTGTGGTGTGACACAGAAGAAAGAGTCAGAAAGAGGATGAACGACTACAGAATGGGAAGAGTAAGAAGAAATACAGATAATCGCGTGAGCTCTACGATGCAAGGCCCGTGCAGCGTAGCAGACAGTGCTCGTAATAGTGTGCCAACGATCAATCTGAACGATTCGAGATGTGAGATAAGAAGTAGGCTGCTCGTTTATTCTTCGATATTCGTTATTGAAATTCGTGGTCTGAAAACTCACCTGTTCGCCTTTCGGGCAGATTCAGGGTGGTTGCACGGAAATGGACGCTCTCGCTTCGACCTTTGCTGTTGCTCGCGTATATGTGGACGTCGTAGGTGGTCCCCGGCTCGAGATTTCCGACCGAGAACGATGGCACTTTGCTCGTTTGATTGTAAACCGTGGTGCTCGGTTTCGAGGATGTGCTGCTTGTTCCCGACTCACGGTCCACCTGTATCGTGAACTTCTGCGGCAGACCACCGTCGAACCCCTCGATGCACTCCACGTACAGCGAGTCTATTGTCTGGTTCAAAAGAGAGCAATTGCGCGGTGTGTCCGGGTGACCTGCGAAGTCGAATAATTAGTATGGTCGATTCGAAAGTTTTGACAATTTACGTTGACCGGAAACGTATTGTATGTTTTAGGACGAGTGGAGATCATTTTGTGGAGTTTTGAGCTAGATGAAAGAGGTTTTGGTGAGAGAATTGTTATGAATGGTGGAAGATATTTAATGAAATTGGGTAGCAGAATAATAACGATGAGTATAATATAAGTAAGGGATGAAAATTCAAGATGTCTATCCTTTTGGTAAATCATCGAACTTTAATTGGTATTGAATGATCGATAATATTTTTGATATTGTGTACAGTGACTAATTCGAGATGTTCTAATAATCATCATGGAACTTCGTGTTATATATTATTCTACTATCTTCTGTTCAGTGAATTTGACAAATAGAACTCTAATATTTTGCTTGATATATAATTTTGATTAAACAATCAACATTACTGTGCAAATTCAATCACAATATCGAAAAGTTATATCGATCACTCGAGTTGTAAAACAGTTTAGAGTTCACAAACATAATTTTATCTAAATCACATCCACGATTTAAATTATTTATCACGTTTTCTCCCTGATACTTGTTTACGCCAACTTTCCATTTCTCGGCTCGAAAAGAAACGTAATAAAGCTATCTCTATTCTTCAATAGCGTTGCTTCGAGTAACCCTGGAAATGTAGCTCCCCATAGCTGACCCGTGATTGCGTCGGGCGAAGAGATGAAGCGACTCGAAGTTGGCAAACTATCACGACAAACGTCTGTCCTTTCCAGACGAGAACGGAATACTGAAAGGATGGGGACACCCTACCCTTCGAACGTCTACCCGTTCACGTACGAACCGATGTGGAACTTGTTGTGTCGCAAACGATAGTGTTTCTACGCTCTCTTTAATCAACAGATACAAGTTTAGATTTTCGTTTCGGAACAGTAGCGAATTCCCAAAAGTGAACGATTCCATTTTAGATGCAGTGCCCTGTTTAATAGCGCTTTTTATTGCTTCGTTCGCGCGGTTTAGTGCCTTCCACTGGTACTAAAGTGTGTTCATCACGTAGTGACGCGTTTCGTCCACGACGCTCGTATTTCTGGATACTCGTCCTCCATACGCCACATACTATTCGTTGGAGTTTTCGTAGATATTTTCAACATGAAATGTCGTTCGAAGAATTGCCGTGAATTCGTGTTATTTTTATGAGAAATATTCAGTAAAATCTAGTAGTTCAGAATAATTAGTTTCTCTTGGATATTATTTTGTTTGAAAACGAACTAAATCCTTGTGAAAATTATTTCGTTTTTGATAAATACATACGCTGCAATTTCGTTTTATTTTTATTCAACGTATGAAATTTTTTCAATAAAATCAATGTATGCATATACGAGTTAACATAAAATATTTAAAAAGTATTTTTTATTTTTTCTCTAATAATTACAAATATTATTTTTTAATATTCGTTTCAATATTTTTATAAGATGGACAAGTACGTATTTAAATATTCCTTTCAATAGAGAGATCGCTGAATAAAAATAAAACATGATATGAAAGCATCGATTAAAAAAACTATATTCGATCTAGTTTCAAAGATTTACCAATAAAAGCAAACAATCCTCGAAATTGAATTTATCTAAACGATACGATTTCAAACGAGAATATCCATTTCTGCAATTCGTTCGAACACAGAGAATACTAACATGAATTTTTTCAGTCGATAAGAGATCGCAAAAAGAAAACGGACATTCGGCTACGGAGGCGTCCGTCGTTGTTTCTAATCTGCATAATGAGGAAACTTTTTAAATCTAATTTACGTCTATCAACCATCCCATGGGAGACACTTTTCCCCGGGATTACTCGAGAACGTTGCACGGCCAACCCTCCACTCGCCACTTCTCACCCTTCCTCCCTCCCCTCCACTCTTGTAAATCCTGGCGATTTATATTTACACTAAAATCTTAATTTCCTCGGTTTCCACGAATTGTTACATAATTAAAAACGAAGTTTTTCCATAAAGCTATAGTGTCTCGTGACTTCGAGCCAGTTTCCAAGTATCTTCTCTAAGGGATGGACAATTTTCAACGGTCTCTCGCGCATTGCACTTAAGATAATGCGAATTTTCCTTGGATTAAAGGATTATCCGAAGAAACACAAGGATACTTTGAAATACCCGGAATATCCTCGTTAAAAATGAATGTTTTAATAATCGAAAAATCATTCCTGTTGCTCGACTCTTTCCAATTATTTTAACACGAATAATTCTTTGAAATCGGGATTGATTCTTTTCCTTCGATGCCAGACAGCATTCTCTTGGAGAAAAGGAAAGTGGAATAGTGTATCGAGGATTTTCTATTGAATGATTTCTTCGTTCCAAGTGATTATTGCATTTGATATTAAATTTTACATATTTTATTTAATTAATTGTGAATATTATTAAAGAGAAGCATAGAAAAATAATTCATTTTTACTTTGTCACAGATGTATAATTAAATTTACAAATTTTTTTTATCGAGAAAAGAGAACGAAGTTCTATATATTCGTATGTATGATAGAACAATAGAAATTTAAATGTGTCGATATAAAAGACACTTACCAGCTGGGACAATGTGATAGACACAAGGTTCAAGTTGCGTTCCCTGCTCATTTGTACCCCAACAAAGCAGAGTACCATAGTCTAACTCGGTCATTGGTGTGTAAGAGGCCGTGGAACGTGTTCTCTCGCTGATGACTTGTGCTTGAGGTATGTCGATCGTCTCCATTGTGTTATTGAACTTCCACATAAACGTTACTTCCGGTGGATTTGCCTCGAGCTCGCACGGTATCCTCGCGGTTTCCTGTCGCGCCACACCGAATACCTTCACCTGACCGTGATGACAAACAGGGGCGACTGAAAAAAAATCATGCGACTACATGAAGCCTAAGCAAATGAAGCATGATGCCTTATCACCTATTTTTTTAATTTTAATTTTGCTCGAGGATGAAATATATTTTTTCCCGGAAATTATCGTGTATCAGATAAACAGGATATATTCAAGTTTTGATTCTTCTTGTTAATTTTGTTGAGAGAAAAATGTGTGAAAAATGTAGTACTGACGAATTATTAATATTTCTGTTTCAGGAGGATCAATGATTCGCATCGATGACTTTCCTCATCTCGAAATTTCCTTAGAACTTAGCATTAGATTCTTTGAACGATGGGAGTTGATCCATGCTTTTGATCCACGAGTTTGAAGATGAGTGATCGAGTATTATCTTCTTCGTTCTCTATCTCTCTCTTCTCTGATATTCGACAAAGATAACACGATTATCGAACATTATCCATGATTAAGTATTAACGATACAATGTTCGTACGTCATTTCCAAATCCTTGTCAACCGCAAGGTAGTAGCTGCAGAAGCCTTAGATTCCATGGCAATATATAATATGTATGTATATACACATATACATATATAAAATATCGTGATATATGATTGAAAAGATATATTTATTTTTTTAGGTATACACAAAATCATTCAACATCATTCAAATCTTCGTTTATGAAATGAAACGTTAAGTTTTAATAATTAACTTTTTTCCCTTCATTTTAGCTAGGCGAATATCGAACAGAATTTCTTAAGTGATCTAATCAATGAAAAGTCAGCCTTTGTCCACTCTATTCTTCTAATTCTATCCCTCTTTTAGCTTGATGTACGATCTCTGTACGTTTTTCTTCTTTTTTTTTCTTTCTTTTCTTTTTCGTTTCTAAGTACAAAGTATTATTGAATTTCAGTCGAAAGAGACTTCCGTCTCGAAGTTGAGGTCACATGGGATCTTTTGTCAGATTATCCAGGGTATCTTCTCTCCGTGGACATCGTTGTAGCTGAATGTCAATTGTGGAAACTGTTCGAAATAACGATCGATCTTCGACGATTGGTTAGATGGAGGAGATAATCTCAAAAAATGGTTTTTAGTTATTTTTTTTCTTTTTAATGAATTATTATCGATTCTAGTTATATTTTAATGATATAGTAAAATTTATACGCCATTAGAATACAGAGAAAGAGAGAGATAACTGATGGATCATCAAATTGATTTCATCTTTCATTTTTACAATCACTATCTATTTGATTTTGATATATTACGTAATCGAAGTGTCAAGGAAGTTAAATAGTTTCCATTCGTGTGTATCAGAACATTTTTTAAATCATTCTTTAACTTTTTCTTTTATAACTCTGTATATCTATCTTTCTCTTGTCTACCTTTCATACATACATCGTCGTAATCATTATTCAGAAAAATTCTCCCAAGAAAATTTCAAAACTTCTTAACTAGGAAGAGAATTATAAAGCAATCGCATGACAAAACTTGGTCCATCCTTTAGCAATAATTATTCTAAACGGGGACAGAATTATGCATTCGGGCAACATAAATCGCCACGATAGTTAGCGGAGACACTTGGCACGTACCAAGGCCATAGGCAATGCGTCATTAATGCTTAATGGACAGACATTAATTTGTTATTGTCAATGGAAGGATCGATAGGAATTCTAGTTGCCGTAAATTCGTAAATGTGTGCATGACAATACATTAGGAATCAATTCCATCTTAGTTCCAGAAAAGTGGGAATAGTACGATAGAATAGAGGTATAATAAGTCTTTGAAACTCAATAACAAAGAAAAATGTGAAAAGAAATTTGTCAAAATACGATTATTACGTGATTCTTATTATTTTTTTTTTGTTTTTCATTTTTACAATCACTATACGAATTTATTATTTCAATGTCAGTAAAGATTGATAGGGTACTTGATTTATGGGGATGTTAAGAGGATGATTTTAGTAATATGTTTGTTAGAAATGAAACTTGCAAAGAGAATTTAATTTTCATAGTTTTAAATAGTTTCATAGTTTTTAAATAGCTTAGTGTTTAAATTTTAGATAAAGATTCATGACTTCTTTTTTTATATTTTTAGTATAAGTTTGTCAAAAAATAGATTGATAGATTTGGATAGAATGAAATATTGTTTGTTGAAATTTTTGTCATTTTATCATCATTGTTTGTTAAGCCTATAGCTTAAATATGAGGGTATGTTTATTAAAAGTAGGATTTGAAAATTGATATTCTATGTAACATTAGATATAGTATAGAATATGTGATAATGGGAAGAGAATATAGATTTAGTAAGTAAACTAGGATATTAGATGATTCTGATATGCATATTTATCGTAAAAGAGAATTTATCAGAAGAGAGAAATTGCGATGTTTGAAGATAGAATTCCAACAATGAATGTTCCAGTATTCGAGTAGTGTATCTGTATGAAGATGTGCAAAAGTGAGTGTTTTAAAAAGCGTGGCAACGGAAGTAGAGTAGTAGAGTAAGGGAGATCAGAGAGAATTTTTTAAGAAAGTTGTTTCAAAGAACAATTTCGAGATAAGAATTCTTTTAAAGAATACTTTTAAAGAAGTTTCTTTGAATTTCTTCTACGTGTTATTTAATCAAATTGTTCATTAAATATAATATGGAAAAAGTTTTTCGTTGTTTAATAATTTCTTAATTTTCTTTTTTTCAAATGAATAATTAATAATAAATCAAGTTTTTTTTTTATTAATAATTCTTTTAATATAACAAAATACAATATTCGTGTAACACGAAATAATTTTAGAAATAATTTATCTCGGGTTTTTTATCGAACCGTGTCAAATATTAATAAGATTTTTAATTATATTTTCATAAGAGTATATAAGTCCTTGTTCTCTTGAGTCTTTCTTTTAAGGAACAGGAGCGAGAATGTTAATAAGGCGAGAATATTTAATTGAACTAATTCAGGGAGAAGAGTAAAATCCGTGCTTTTAATAGCAACATATGTAAGCCAAGATTTCTCTCCAAGTTTAAACTCCGAAACGGAAATACGTGATGATAAACGATATTTCCGGTAGAATAAACGCTTTGGCAAACTTATTAGTTGAGTGGATTTAATAACAGATTGTTAGTCATCCGACGAGACTGTAGATAATAGATTACTGTACTGTCGCAAACAGAATTATGTTCAGTCGTGTCCAATCTGCATAATCAACAAATTAAGTGGTCGTAAGTTTTTACAATACAAAAACACGCGATACCATTTGTAAATTTAACGTGCATAAAATGATATATGAGAAAATTATCTTTTAATACGTTCTCGGATTTATTATGCATTTCTTTTTTTTTTTTTTTAAATATAATTTGTCAAAATAACTGGTATTTTAAATAATTTTTCAATGAAGATATTTAAATAACAACGAAGTTCTTATATTTTATATTTCAATACATAAAGATAATTAAATCTTTATTTTATTCCAATTATAATTTATCCTATTGAATAATTATTTCAATATTTTAAATATCAAAAAAAAAAAAAAATAAAAGAAATACATAAAAATTCAAGAAAATATCACGAGATTTCGATATATTCTCCACAAATTTGTCTCAGTATATTTATCAATAATCACGAACTCTATCGCTTTAATCAGTTTGTTCAACTCCCTCAACATGATACATTAAGAAGTTCTTAATCTGCATTGAACAAAATTGATGAACCAAAACTCGTCGAAGCGAAGAATCGATCGATGCGCGTTACTCTCCCTCCTCGCTTTTGCTCGAGACGCTTTGCAATATCCATTAACATGGTTAATTAGTGTAACTGATTAGCAACGGCCGGTGTATCGATGTTCATGCATCATCTCGAGTCACAAGCATCCGTCCGATATCTGCGTATACGCTAATCCGCCGATAAGTTGAAGCATTCCTGCAGGCGGACCATTGAAAATGTTAATCATCCCGACACGTTTCCGGTCTTTTATGGGATCTTTGATCGATTATCGTTTGGCTTATCGAATAACTTGAATGGAACCACTTCTATATAGTTTCAACAATCAAAGGGACAATTAATCTTCGAATTCTTGCGCTAACGACTTTGCGAAGAATTCTTATCGATCTTCGAAGGATTTTCGTGTAATGAAAAAAAAAATATAGCGTTCTTTAAGTTTTTATCATTGTTCGTTATTAATCGGGAATATTCTTTAGAGAATTTAATTGTATTTCTGGATGAAGGAATTTCTTTGGGATTTTATTTTTTTTCAAAAAGTTTTCTTTTTTAAGAAGAAAGGATTGGATATATATATATGTATATTTTTTTTAAATTTGTCCATCGAGGATGGTTCTACTGATGATTTGAAATCTGATTCAAAGAGGCTATAATTTTATAAGGGCGTATAATTGAAATTGTATAAGGCTCGACCGAAGATCAAAGACCATGCGAGAGGGGTGGTATTAGTACGGCGATGGTGCTTTCGAAAGTAGCTCTGTAATCGTGTTATCGTCTTTGGTGGATGTATTATGGATCTCGGCGCTGAAATAAATTTGAAATTATTTATATTGATACGAAAAGGGAACTTCGATAGGAAATACATTGAACTGTATCCTGTTACTTCAATAACTTTTTTTTACTGTTATGGACGATATGAATGAATTGCTTTATATTTTAAATTGATATAAAAATTCATTCTAATCAAACATTTATCAAAAGTATTTCCTTCATCCGTAATCTCACATTGTTAACATTATTGACTTGCGGTTATGAAGCCTTGTGGGGTAGCTTATCTATACTCATTACCATAAGGATCTAAGTACTCTCAACTCTCAACAGTATCGCCTGCGTACACTGTGTATGTACATTAATACATCTTCTAACCCGCGAATAAGTACACTATCACGCCCCTAATGAAACTTAACGATAAAAATGGAGCAATTAATCATCACGAATTGATCCTCGAGCAAAATAATTCCAATTATTCTCTTCACCCTCAAAATTCTCTACTCTCAAATAAATGACAAGATTCAAAAACAAAATTCTTCTTCTTTCGACAATAA